ACCCTATAGTTGGCCGACACCACCACCACATCATTGGTGGCCAACACATCTCCGTTGTAAAAGTCTTGAAATATTGAACCAATACTTAACCCTCCGCTGTATAGCGAATACATCACCGCTTTTAACGTCCCCTTTGACTGCTTTGCGGTATTATTGTTCACATTTGGTGTCCATATGTTTAATACTAAACAGTCTTCGCTTTGGGGCACAAATGTCTTAATACCGCCAAAACCTATGGCACTTTGAATGCAATAATTGCCTGGTTTTGTGCCGTCTATTATAACCTATATTAGTTAATTATTAATTTTATATTTAATGTAATTAATAAAGCATGTTGGATTAATGTTATAAGTACATGTTTAGGTGTTTTGAGGGGTAGGGGCGGCGCAAATCTAAGCTTTCCGATTGGCGGCTCAGCGTATGGTATATTCAAAAACTCGTTAATCTTGATATCCAATGCTGTGATTGTGTGTCCCATCACTCGACCCGAACTCGTGTTCACTAATATAGCGTTTCCAATACCAACACAAAGTAATATTATTACACATGTTGTTATTGTATGAGCCATTGGTTTACCATATGTTTTATGCAATAATGTTGTAATTTGATAATTTGGTTTTAAAACTTTACGTTAAATACATTTGCATTGCAAACACATCACAAGATTACAGATATGATTAACAAAATATACATTGAAAATAACAATTTAATTATAATTGGTTTAACGGAGTGTTTACATGATAAAAACTTAATATTGCACTATGATAACATTTAATTGATGTATGTTTACATGTTAATTAAATTACAATTAGAATCACACGTATAATACATACGTGTATGTGTTACAATCTGTTATAATTTCTATATAATATGTTTTTGTGATACAATATTTTAAAGTTATTTTTTAAAATTTTAAATTTTAAAAATTTAAATATAAATAGGTTAATTAAATGTCTGACCATAAATATTGGCCGACGTTACTATAAAAATTATACCTAAAATCTATGTAGAAATATTTCAGCTAATAGTATTGTAATTAATATAAAGTAACCGTACAATATATAACCAAAAACAAAACTAATTCTAGAATAATCAAGATCAAAATAGTTTCCAGATTGACCATGGTTGCTGTTTAATCCGGCAGATTTACCAAATTTATTGGTCAGTTTCCAATATAACATTTCTTTCCAATGTCCCATAAGATTTGCCTGGGTAATACGTGATAAACTACACAATAACAATTATAAATTTTACATGATTATATATCAATAGTATGATAATGTTTATTACATGATCAATTGTATTTTATAAAATTATATTTACAATTTATTAAACGTTGCTAGATATGGGGAGTGTTTAGAAAATACAACCGATGTCAACATGGTGGCTAATTTGTTTGCATTATCGCCATCCGGTATATAATGTCCAAAAATATTACGTGTAATCAAATTA